TATGGTATCTATTATTCACATCTACTCCCAAGTCCCCGTGATACAGAGAAGAAAACCGAGGCCATAAGAATTGGGAATTTCTCAAAGCCATCCCTCTTCTCCAAGTCCAGGTGATAGAAATCAGCAGGTCTACAATTAAGTACCACCCAGAACTGGGCTTCCCTGATGGCTGAGCAGGTAAAGAATCCACCAGCAGTGCAGGAGACACAGGAGATGTGGGTTCAGTCCCAGATCTGGGACGATCCCCCGGAGAAGGAAATGGCAACCCACTCCAGTAGGCTTGCCTGGAGAATCCCATGGACTGAGGAGTCTGGAGGATTACAGTGCAAAGGGTCGCAAAGAGTTTGACATGACTGAGCAACAAAGCATGCACGCAAGGCTTCATTTGCTCAGGTGACTTTCTGGGGGAAAATCTGCTTGTTTGGACTCACAGTTTCCTAAGTAGGGCTGAAGACTTCCTTATGTCCTTGCATTGACTGAAGCTCACTGCAACTTTCACTTCCAACTGGGCCATATCCTGGCCCAGAAGACTGAAGATTCAATCAAAGAATCTGGGTGAGAAATGGAATGGAGTTTTTCCCCACCTCAGTTTATAGGAGTACTTTTATTTCCCTCCTTTTTAGGACATAAAAGACAAATTAGAAATGCTGGTCCCACTGAAATCTTTCACTGCATAAGTCCCATAATCTTTAATTATATTGAAATAATTTGCTTATAACAAACAATTCAGTACCATGCAATTCTGCTGAGCTTTAGGTTCAATTTCACATCTAGACAAGAGTTATTCCAAACACAGGAATGGGTAAATCTTATAATAAGTAAAACAAATGGCTAAGATAAGTAAAATAAGGTGATAAGGCTCCAATGAATTGCATAGTGCCATGGCAGTGCTTTCTAGGTAGACAGGATTTAAGGAGATTTTATCAAAGTGGGATACAGAAATTGCACGTACTGAAACTTTGACTGGATGATTCATTTTCTATGAAATTGAATCAGTGAATAACAAAACAGAGTGAGCTAGAAGTATTCACTGCTCAAAGATACTGAAGATGGCAGGTCAGCAGCAATAATTAAGTAATTAGTCTTCTGGCTAATTAGAAGAAATGGAGAATATATGCCTGAAATTCTTTCCTCACTGAGAGGATCACACCAACTCTCCCAGTGAAAACATTCAACTAAGCTGTGCCTTCAGATTGTTCTTTATGTCAGTTTTAGTTTATCCATGACTCAAGCTCATCTCCATTTTGCCTTCATATGGGAATCTTGCCATATTACCATAGCATTTTATTCTGAATCTGCTATAAAGGCATACCATAGCATTTTATTCTGAACCTGCTATAAAGGCAATTAGTCATTTATTATAACACAAAAATTCAAAGTGGTTGCAATTATGTTTTCTGAATTAAGCCCTTTGATGTGGGTAATTTAAGGTTCTATATTTAAAATGCATTCAACGAGTCATAATGGTAAATAAGAATACCCTTAAACTAGCATTCATATCTCCTGCACATGAAAAATTAAATGGATAATTTCTACCTACGACAGATTTATTTTGTGGTGGATAATTTTAAAGAATTGATTTAATTAGTTGTAACTATGCTCAGAAGTATAATTTGAAATACCATTGAATGGAAAGGGAAAGTATTTTCAAGCAGAGAGAAAACTCTCTTAAAATTTCCTTTGTTCATTAGTCAATGAAAGTTTATTAAGCACCTACAGTTTTCATGGCAATGTACGACATGATAATAACCTAATCTGGCATTATTCTATTCTAGTCCTGCTAGTTAACCGAATGAGTTAACCTCTCCAGCTGTCCATTCACAGTATGCCAATAGACAACAGGAATTAAATGAATGAGTCAGTCTGAAAAAAAAATGGATGTATTTAGGTTTCCTTTGGTTTCATGTGCTAAAAACCAGTTACCAGCTAACTACCCTTTTTTATTTCTTCAGGGACCCAGGAATTTTAAAAGAATCTTATCTCACTCAGGCAGTGAACTACACACTTAATCATGACTTTCTAAGTGTTGATACAGAACAGCAATTTGTAAGATTCTACAGCTATGGAAAGGAAAAACAGCACAGTAATTTTAGGCAGATAAAGGGAAATATATTTTGAGGGCTGATTTTCACTTTAAAAAGTTATCTTAGACTTAATAACATAGGCTAGGTTCAGCATTTTAGAGCTGGACATTAGAGCTGATCTAGGCCACTGGTTTCTAACCACTTGTATTGAAGACAAGGCGAGGGTGGGATGTTTAGAGAGAGCAGCATCGAAACATGTATATTATCCAGGGTGAAACAGATCACCACCCCAGGCTGGATGCATGAGACAAGTGCTCGGGCCTGGTGTACTGGGAAAACCCAGAGGAATCGGGTGGAGAGGGAGGTGGAATGGGGGATCGGGATGGGGAATACATGTAAATCCATGGCTGATTCATGTCAATGTATGACAAAAACCACTACAATATTGTAAAGTAATTAGCCTCCAACTAATAAAAATAAATGAAAAAATATATATAAATATATGGATTCTCAGTTCTCATTCCCAGAGATTGCGATTCACTTGACCTGGAAGAGGCTGGGAGGGGAAGCAGGTATAAATATAACTTGTAAAATTTCCCTAGCAGCCAAAGCTGAGACCCACAGACCTAGCCAAGCCTCAATATTTTGGCATGAGGTCTCCAAGCCTTGAAAGAATAAATATCCTGCCTAAGAAAAACATAGCTTATAACCCATGGAGCCATGCTTAGAACCCAAACAGTCAAATTCCTAGTCTAGATTTATTTACTAAACCAATTGACACCATTTCTATTTCTCTCACACACTGGTTCAGATCTAATTACCTAAGTAGGTAGGAACAATAAGACTGCTTATAACTCATAACTAACACATTCCCTCCTTCAAGAGACCTGTGTGTTTCTTTACTTGCTAACTAATAAGTCTTTCAATGACACTGTAATGATTAATATATCTGTTTATTCCACATTTTAAAATACTTATTTGAAACTTTTACACCTATAAAATATATCATTCCCATTTTAAGACAAAGAAAGCAGATTTACTACTTGAATCTGAGTCCAGTTGAAGTGTCTATTATAGAACTTCGAGAGCTGAGCACATAGCAGTACTCGAATATCCAGATGGGTTTTCTTAGCCACATTCCTTACATGAAAATGTCTTTAGTTTGGCCACTTCCACTTGGTTCTAAAAGCTCCATGCAAGTAGGGCTCTTGTCCAACTTCATCAACTGTCTCCCAGCATCTAGCAAAATGCTTGCCATAAACTCAACACTCAACAACTAACTATTGAATCAAAAATCTTACTTATATTTGTTAAGAAATGAGACAGAGTATCCTGAACCAACTTGTGAAAGACAGTCTCAAATACATAAAAGTATTGGGAAGATGGTTTTATAAAGGAGTAGTTTTACAGTTATTTTATAAGAAGAGCTTTGGCCTGATTTTCCTCACCTAAATTTGCCTTTGTTGTACCATTTGGATTACAGTTGGGCTCGCTCTCACTAATATGTTAACAGCCCTTCATTCAAATGATACAAATGAACTTACTTATAAAACAGAAATAGACTCACAGATTTCAAAAACAAATTTCAGTTACCGAAGGAGAAATGTGGAGGGGCAGGGATAAATTAGGAGCTTGGGATTAACAATATACACACTACTATGTATAAAATAGATAATCAACAAGGACCTACTGTGTAGCACAGGCAACTCTACTTAATATTCTCTAATAACCCATGTGGGTAAAAAGTCTGAGAAAGAATGAATATACATATATGTATAACTCAGTCACTTTGCTCTACACCTAAAACTAATACAACATTGCAAATCAACTAAACTCCAATAAATTTTTTTAAGAAGTCCTTCATTCAGTATACCTTTTATATGTGTGAAGCACAACTGACATGCAATAAACAGTGATGAAATAAAATACCGAATTTTACTGTCTTTTGGAAAAATGTAACCAAATTAATTAACATAATATTATTCTCTGGAAAGATAAAGAGTGCGATATCTTTGGTGAGTCAAAAGGGTGGCACAGTATTGTAGAAAGCACTAATCTAGTTGCAGAAGATGGTTCAATTGATGACTATTTAGAATTAAATTTTTTTAAGCAGATCATTTCAATCCTACCTTTTCAACCTAACCACACACCAAAATTCCATACCTTTGTCTCTGTAAAGGGTATTTTCTCTTTACCCAGAGGTTATAACTTTGCAGTCTTTTATCTGATTCATGTAGAAATGAGGTACTGACATGAGCTAAAATGACATACGTTTAAATATGGTAGAGATGAATAGCCAAAGAAGCAATGTAAAAAACTGACAGAAAAATTAGCTATGGTAGAAATATTGGACACCAAACAATGAATATTTAATCTCTGCTATCTAACAGAGATGAACTGGAGGGTTGGAGGGGGGAAAGGTGTACATTTAAGGAGTTATTAAATCTAACACTAATATTAAAGCCAAGGTTATGGAAAGAACTGGGCTGTGAATGGGCCACAACAGCTCAGGAACATGACGAGGATTCAGTAAATGCTTTGTTGAATGAATGAATGGGTAAATGAATGATTGAGTGAATGAGTGAATGAATGAGTTGTCCTCTTTAGAAATTTAGAGTACAGTACTGGGATTTGAAGACTTGGCTTTAAAAACAAATCTATCCAAAGCTGTGGATTAATAAACTAGATTTCAGGAAAGTCAGTGCTGAATATAATGCAGGTGTTTTTATTTTTCATTTAATTAAAATGACCACAGAGTCATTATTCTTACCCTTAATTTCTGAGCCTGCAATGTTAATGAACTATATCTGTTCCATGAATAATTGAGTTGAACTTGAAAGACAACTCCCCATTCCAAAAGCCTCCCACACTACCAGTTAACTGTGATTTATCCTTTTACTTCTGAAGAATTTTAAGCATCTTCCATCTGATTTGACTGACAACCAATCTGTACTTCCTCTGTCTTTATTCTTGCAGGAAGAAGATGTTACTCGTGAAAGTCGCTTTAATTTCAGTGGTTATGGAATGGGTCACTGCCTTCAAGTGAAAGATGGAGCAGCTGTCAAGGCCACACCTGCCAACCAGCTCCCACAGCCCCCCAAAGATGCAGATGCCATCAAGAAGAAGTTTGTGGACCGGGCAAAAAGGATTGACACGATTTCTCGAGCTGCCTTCCCATTGGCCTTCCTCATTTTCAACATCTTTTACTGGATCACATACAAGATCATTCGGCATGAAGATGTCCATAAGAAATAGATATGCTCTTCAGATCCTGGGACCTTCTTGCCTAACTGCTGTGCTTGTAAATACAGTGAAATTGTCTTTATATCACTTTGACAGAGAAGACTGGGGGAGGGGGGAGGGAGGATCATGGGGGTGGGTTTCCTGGCACCTACATGAATAAAGATAAGTTATCCGGGCAATGAAGGAAAATGTTTGCACAAAATTAAGGTTTTGCAGAATCACGTGAGCATAATTACATTCATAGTCTTTAGCATTGCTCTTTCAGATGATGCATTAATTAGACATGATATGCAAGGTCAAGTACTTGAGGGCTATTTGTTTTTTGGTTTGGTTTGGACTTATTCTGGTACTGAAAAGATAGTTTGAACACACACACACACACACAGAAAATGCTTACCATCTGACCATAGTGACTAGACTATAGTGAGTTGAGGACCAAAATTTTTCAGGAAAATGCTGCCTTGTTTTTAAAACAGCCTCCTGAGCTATGTTCTTTACAATGTCTGTAATTAGTGTTTCACCTGAGAAATCCTTTTGTGGTCATAAATAATTTCTACTTATTGAGAAAACAACAACAACAATACATACCAATCACAAAGAACAGGTTTCTACTTTATTGTCTGTGTAAGTGTGCATTTTAATATTCTTTTTCTTTCTGAGATGCAATTTGGGGATTTGAATTGTATATTGTGAAGTTGATTTGATCATATGCCCTCTTGAAAATAAATGCCCATTTTCTTTTAGATCCAAGTTAGCACACAACATTTTTTTCCGCTTTGCCTATATTTATGTGCAATTAAGTGCTCAAGTGTGACTTAGCCATTGCGGCCTCTCAGCCACAGTATTTATGAAGATGATGTGTCCTAAACAATGTAGCTCATATTAGCTTGAACTTCCCATTTCTGCTTTCATTGTAGGTGTAACTATTAATCTTAATGTCAACTGACCCATGATTTCTACTGTCAATCCAAGTGAATATTGTTTGAAATATCTTTAACTAATTTAAAGAATTTTAAAGTTGTACTGTGATTTTCATAACCTGTTTCCTTTTTGGTACCAGAGCTATGTGGTTTGAATCCTGGCTATATGTTTTAAGTAAGAAAAAAAAAAAGATGTATTTTTGCTTACTCAGATAAAAGACAACCTGTAAAAAATATAATGAAAAATTAAATTTTACATGTGCTGTAAAAGGGGTTATTAAAAATATTTGTTCAATTTCAATAAAGCTAAGTGTGCCACAGAAGCTAAGTCTTTCCACTCTTGCATTATAATGTAAATAATTTAGATGAGAATGGTAACTTAGACTTTTGTTTCTGGTCTTCCTCATAAACTTGAAGTACCTACATAGCTATTATACTTTTGTTGTAATATAAAAATGTAGCTCATAGTAGCTCCATGAAGAAAGAAAAAATACATCATTCTCATTGTAGAAACAAGGAAATGGAGACAAGGAAGTATTAGTAGTCATTGTAAGCAGAAGCTAATGCTGGATATGAGATACAGAACACTTTCAAGAGCACTTAGGAATCAAAAAATACCATGTAAATCCATGGCTAATTCATCTCAGTGTATGACAAAAACCACTGCAATGATGTAAAGTAATTAGCCTCCAACTAATAAAAATAAATGAAAAAAAAAATACCAAACTGAAAAGAAATTTAAAATATCAACCTGTTCACCTATCCACCCTGCTTTTGTCAGGATTAGAGTTCCATGATGAAAAATAATTCCGAGAGCCCCAGTGAAATAGAGGTAACTCATCTTGGCCCTTGTAGATTTTTCTTAACTAAAGGTATCCATCATAAAATTTTCAGGAAGATGTGGATTTCTAAGCTGATGTTTATGGCCTTTTAAACCTATTCAAATACTGAATCATTTCCATAGAAAGGAATATTGCAGAATGGCTAAAAGCATGAATTTTAGAGACAGAAAGACTAGCTCAGCCACCTATCAACAGGGTTACCTTAGATAAGTTACCTGATTTTTCTGAGTAGCTCCTATTTCAGAGACTTTTAAAACGATAAACTGAGAAAAATGCAAGTAAAGCCATTAACTTGGGGTCTAGCAGATAGTAAATTCTCAATAACTAACAGATAATAATAAAATCAGTATTATTATTATGAATTGTACTACACTGGGTAAGAAGCTATACAATTCCTAGCCTCGGCTAGATTAATGCCATGCTTTTTGCCTCTTTCCCAAAACACTATTTCTGTCTTATTGTTCACTCCTTCCCAAACAAATAAGGCAAAGTCTTTGACTGGTCTCAAATCTCTTGCTCCCACGGTAAAGTAGTAAAATTGAGGCTAAAATGCCTCCCAAAGATGGGCCTGACCACATAAGTGTACTAGGAAGAGCCCTGAGGCTACATATGGTGGGATGGGGAGGCATCTTGGAGGAAAATCAAAGCTGAACAATCATGTCTAATTAAAGTGTATACTGACTGTATAATTTTCAGAGGGAGGGTGTAGTCCCCACATTAGAAAAAATGTTTAAATATTCACGTCTAAATGTATCTGCCAGCCACACAAGTAGATAAAGACATCCTAGATGGCAAGAAGTGTTCTTGACTTTTCTCTAATTATAGTCCACATTCAGTGGGAAGAACTTTTTTAAAAATTGAAGTATAGTTGATTTATAATGTTGTGTTAATCTCTGAAGTAGAACAAAGTGACTCAGTTATATATACATATATATATTCATTTTCATATTCTTTTTCATTATGGTTTATTACAAGATATTGAATACAGCTCCCTGTGTTATACATTAGAACCTTGTTGCTTATCCACCCTATATAAAACAGTTTGCATCTACCAACCTCAAACTCCCAGTTCTTCTCTCTCCCTTATCCCCTCCACCTTGGCAACCACAAATCTGTTATGTATATCTGTGAGTCTGTTTTTGTTTGGTCTATAGGTTCATTTGTGCTGTATTTTAGATTACACACATAAGTTACATCATATGGAATTTGTCTTTCATTAGAAATCACTCTTGAATTTGGGTTATATAAATAAAATCTCAAGGGAAAGATTTTAAGCACCACATATTCTGACAAAATACATAATTCCCTTATAATGGAAGAATTGAGGATATTTTTTCTTTCACAATAGTACTTGAAAGAAAATAGTTCAAAAGTAAAATCATGGCTCTGAGGAAAAGAATTTACCACCAGTTTTCACTAGATTGGAAGCTTCTGGAAGAACATGGTTATGTTTCTAAGGGTTTTCTGTACTGCTTGCCAAAGCTGAAATGCTCGATGAGTATCATTACTATCACTAAGGGAAAACTTGGTGAAGGAGGCTATGCTGTGCCTGTTGGACAAAGTTTACATAAGTTTTTTCCAATTAAGCAATGAAAAGTAACCAACTACTGCTACCACTTTTCAGATAATGGATTACTCGGGGATTTGACTTTTAAACATTTTTCAATTCCTACCACTTGGTTTTAAGAACAGATTGAGATGATTCAAGGCTTAAGACTCTTTGTGGCACTCTCAAACACCTTGGTCCAAAATAGATTCTACAAACCAGACTGGCTGTTGATTTTTAAAAATCCTTCCAAACAGTATTAGCACTAAGCTCCTCATCTATGGACAGAGAAGCCTGGCAGGGTACAGTCCATGGTGTTGCAGAGTCGGACATAACTGAGCATACACACACATGCTGCATCCATGCCACCGGAAAAAAACAGTCAAATTCTGAAAGCAAATTTTCCAATAAAGATTAAATGAGGACTCACGTGGAAGCCGAGAGCGGCGAGTGGAAGTCCCGGCTTAGCCTTGGGATAAAGATTTGTTCAATCAATGGCAACCTTGTAAACAGTTATGGAGATTTGTCTCACTTGGGACAACTTGGATGAATGTAGAGAATATTATGACTCATGGACGAAGAAGCCCAGAAGAGGAAAGAACAGGAGTCAGGCATGGCTCTCTCTCAGGCACAGTTGACCTTCAAGGATCTGTTCATAGATTTCACTCCCAAGGAGTAGGAATGCCTGGACCGTGCCCAGAAGACCTTGTACAAGGACGTGATGGTGGAGACTCTCAGGAACCTGCTGTCTGTAGATATGTCTCATATAGATCAGATCAAGAAATTACAGGCAAAAGTAAACAGTGGTTAAGGGGAAATTTTTCAAAGAGTGATGTTTGGAAGAGCTGAAAGCCTTGAAATCAAAGATTTTCACCTCAGGGACATCCAGGAAAATATACATGACTTTGAGTGTCTGTGTACAGACAATGAAAGAAATGACAAAGGAATGTCTACTTCCCATAACAAAAACCTCACTGATGGAAGACATTATCCTCGTAGAAGTGATGTAGGAAATAGACCTTTTGAAAGGCACGGATCAAGCTTTCAGAATGAATTGCAGGTGGTACAATCTGAAGGGATAATTTTTGAATGTAGTCAAGTTGTGACAAATGTCAGGGCCACAGGTTTACCACCTCAGAGAACTGGTAATGTCTGCAAAGGTTTTTCTCATAAACATGAGGATGCTGTTATGCATCCTTCTGAACTGTTACCAGACCATGAAACACAAAAGAAAAGACCTTACAAATGTACTGAGTGTGACATAACCTTTCTTCAGGACTCAGAACTCACTGGACATCAAATAATCCATACCGGAGGAAAACCATATAAATGTGACGTGTGTGGCAAGGCTTTCAATCAAACTACAAAACTTGCAATTCATTGGAGAATTCATACTGGAGAGAAACCACATAAATGTGATGTATGTGGCAAGACTTTTATTCAAATTGGAAACCTTGCAGTTAATCAGAATATTCATACTGGAGAGAAACCATATAAATGTGATGTGTGTGATCACTGTTTTCAACAAAGTACACACCTTGAAAATCGTCAGAGAGTTCATACCGGAGTGGAACCATATAAATGTGATGTTTCTGGAAAGGCCTTTAGTCAAAGTGCAAGCCTTGCAGTTCATCAGAGAATTCATTCTGGAGAGAAGCCATACAAATGCAATGTATGTGACAAGGAGTTTCGTCATACTGGAAG